TCTAAAATTAGAACTTTCCTACGAGATGACTAGAGTGGAACATGTTATTACTTCAGTCTTTAGGTGTTAATGATGCCTCTTTCGTTAGGATGGCAGTAATCAGAAGGTATTAGCAGGGATAATCTACAACAGGGATAGGTCACTCGCTTGCTTTCTTTACCATTTGTACTTATTAGCGTGTGCCTCGTCATGCTCCAACGCACACAGTGACTTGATTCGTCACAAGCATCAATGGCAGATCAGAACAGATCGGCGATATGTCATATTTTTCACACACCTCAAATACACCCTAACAATTTTTTTAAAATTATAAAACTATCACTATTACTTGCAACCACCTTTCACCTGATGGTATATTCCCCTCATAAAAATTAAAGGTGTATGTGAAAGATGTTTTCGAGCAATAACTAGAAACACTCAAACAACGCCCTGTAGTATTTCAATGGCAGATCGGCGATAGGTCATATTTTTCACACACCTCAAATACACCCTTACAATTTTTTTAGGTATAAAACTATCACTGTTACTTGCAAACACCTTTCAACTAAAGGTATATTTCCCTTCTAAAAATTAAACGAATATGTGAAAGAAGTTTTTAGCGATAGAATTTAGTCTTTCTTCGCTGTGTACTGAGAATTGAAGCCAGTGAGCTACAACATGACTTGAAACTTTACTACAAATCAACTGTACTAATACTGTCACTAATAACAATTATTTGACTTACAATGAAGTGACAGAATAGGTAACTTATCTTCTACATGTAGGTTTTTAGTTTTCACAACACACAGCGAATGTTATCAGCTGTTGAAAATAAACCGGGCTCTATTTAAAAACTACGCTGCCGCCATATTGGCTACACTGTGGTCACGTGACGAGGCGAGGCATACGCTAAGGGGCTTTTCGAGGAGTGACCACTCCTATACCTATTTCCTAATTCGCTTCAGTTTCACTATATGGAGATAACCCGTGAAGATACGGGCTGAATTGGTCTTCAGCAACCCATGCATGCTTGTCGTAAGAGGTTACCATCGAGACCGGGTGGTCAGGCTCGCTATAGCTTGGTTGAAACATGTCATCATATCCCATGCAGTTCCTATGATCGACGTTCAGGCTGTTGATTACTATAGAATGTCTGGTTATTTACAGACCGCTGCCATTTGGCCGGAATATTGCTGAGTGCGGCGTTAAACAAACACGAATACACTATGTAGACTATTTGAGGTGAAAGAAAAAACCCACGGGAAGAACGTTGCAGAAAACCTAGGTCACCTTGATCTTTCCTCAGCTAGGTTAATTAAAAATTCGTTTCTGAAACAAAGAGTCTCGACCTACGTGATAAATTAATTCAAAGACCAGTAGAAAATGATTTAAACTTGTAAAGAGGTTACACAATTAATAAAAATGTCATTTTTTAAAATGATTGAGTTGCCTATGTTACGTCACCTAATATGCTACTCAAACCACTGAGATACTGAGCGGCATATATATTTTTAAGGAACACGCAGCTCTCGACTTGGAACCCCATCAGACAATACGCCGCGAAGTGCTCCTAAAATAGAATTTAATTAGGTCAGCAAAGTAACCCTTTAAAAGTCTCCTTTCGAATAAAATATTAGCCCTGGCTGCATTGTACGAGAGCACAAGAGGATATCGAGACAAAAGAGATTGCCTTCCCAACTTATCTTAAAGACGTATCATCTTACATAATTAATGACTATGCCCATGGTAACTACCTGTCGTGATAACATTGACATAGTTCAAATAAAGAAAAAGTGAGATCACTTCTGTTTGTCCATCCCGAACACCTAACCCGTAATATCTTGGGCCTTTGTGTTTGCGACCATGCCCCGGGGCAGCTCAGCTCTTCTCTGCTCTACTCTGTCGACTCAATTGATAACGTTGCTCGAATGCACAGCCTCTGTTGTAAAGTGGGACCATAGTTTTCGGGTCGTCGTAAACCCAGTCTATAATTTATTCGCAATGGTGTCGTGTGCAAGAAGGAAATCCCGTGTAACGACGTAATGACACTATTTCTGGCCGACATGGCTGGAATCAATGACGAGTTTTCATTGGGTAACACGCCGACATGTCTGGATCGCGGAACCCGTCGCCGACAACGTAACCTCCCTTCCCTAAAAAGCAGTCAGGCATGTATTATTTGAAATAACCAAGCAACCTGAACTGATCAGAGAGCAGTTTTCAGATGTCCCTTGCTTACGCGGGGCGACGGTTATTCATCGATCGCTATCGCGCACTTCCTTACAGCGCTACAAAAAAGAAAACGAAGTCTAACTGTAGTGTCGGATCCCGCATAGACTGGCACCCTGTCAATCGCCCTCCGGCTTCACAAAGCAAGGAAGCTGCAGCTGTAGAGAAACCAACCCTTCATACACCATAGCGTGTAGAAACACATTCCAGAATATGTTTCTTCAGCATTAATACCGTTAATACCGGACCACAAAGTAGACAAGAATATGGACAACAACTTTAATTGAATAACGCCAATGCAGTATTTATTCATATACCATTGTCATGTTTGACGAAACGTGGCTCTTACATAGATAGGCTGTCCATAATATTTTTTAGTTACTAAGTCATACGTAAATTTCTAAGAAATGCCTATCAACAGACAATTATCCATAAACCATTTAAATATTATCACATGTGAATTGCGGACAGGCTGCCTAGTCTGGATACCCAGACATTGAGTGAGTGGGTGCGTGAGTGAGTAAGTATAGTTTTACGCCGCTTTTAGCCCTGTACCAGCAAAACCACATTTGTAACCAGAACCAATGCGTATCTGACGGCCGATTTTCAAGTCAAAGGCGTTTGTCACGTATTGCAGCTACAATTTCACTCATGAAGTGTGTACATGTATTTAGTTTCACCAAACTTCGGATCAAACTTACATGTATTTTCATGTCTCCTTTCGCACGAACGCAATGCGAGACCGCCGATATTAGAGCGGTATTATATTATATTCGAACCTTTAGCCAGATTTTTACAAGATCAGAAGTAAACAAACTTCAAAATATTTTATTTGCTTAAAAGATAACAAATATTTATTTATTCATTAATTTATTCTAAATGTAATTATCACTTCTTGAGTCAGTGAGTGCATGTCAAGATTGTCACGGTATATCAGGCACCTTTGTTGAATGTTTGGATATAAATGTAAATATAATGTGCCATTACCTATGCCCTCCACGACAATGACATTATATATTCAATGTATTCTTTTCTAATCAAAATTAAATAGAATATAACACTGCCTTCGGTCGTGCAAATATAATACGATACCTCTCGCCTAAATTTTTCACATACCTTGACAGAAAGAAAATATATATGTTTATGTTAGGTCTTTTTCATATTTATTTCATTTTGAAATAGATTAACTGGATTTTGCTTTACTGCAGAGAGTAACGGAATCGGCATTAACCATGTATGTCGTGTTTCGCTGAGCAGATTATGGGTCCTCAAATGGTGGAAGGGAGGTCACTCTGTAAAAAAAATTGAAGGCACTAGAAACCAGGTGTTCTAACTGTTGTTTATAAGTGATCTTGTTCGATTATACGTTGAACCTCAAATCAACCCTGTCTCTCTCTCTCGTGTGTGTGCGTGCGTGCCTGTAAATAACCAATGTGACTGATGTGATAGCGGATGCACTTTCCTACAACGCATATAATCATGACAAACTTTTTTAAGAAACGATAATTTGTGGACTTTGTTTTCAATACGAAACACAAAGAAAAGATCCATAAATATGAAATGATACTTTCTTCCTTAACAACTGATTTCTAAATTCGAGTTCTCGTCACACTTAAAAACCGACCATTAACAAAGTTAACTGTAATGTTACAACTATGCCAGGAGCTATGAAAGTTACATAACAGTAGCATATTATATCCCATCCTTGCGTTGAATATTTAACTTAAAAGTTAAAACTGAAAGCAAATATATATCAGTTCCAATTTGTTAAACTTTGTCATGTGCGAGTATGATGTAATTTACGTGTCTTGAAAAGTGTTTACAGTGACAGATATGAAATATCACTTACCCTGAAATGTCACTTGTTACATTCTAGAGTGTATTTCTGAAAATGCTCTTTTTGGTTTCAGTTTAGTTCTAATATACCATTGTTATCTAAATATGAAAGGTAGTGTGTCATTGGTCAACGCACAATCTAGTTTACTTTTATTACCCACAGGTTAAGAAACATCTGCCAATTATTAGACACCGCACATGTACTAGGTACAAATCTTTTCATGAATACATGGGTCATGTGTACATCATCTGAATGTTAACGTGATTCGAATCCTATTGTGACGTAAGATCGGAATGACGTCACACTAGAAACATGTGAAATGGGAAAGAAAAAGAATAGTTTACCCCACGTGTGTCGTACCTCTCCTCCGGCTAATATTAGAATTATTACACGAGTCTCGTAGAAGCCTATGACACACATACACCGATAAATTTCTATAGATCACTCGCATGTGTGTAATACTGATCTTACAAAACTCGTATAAGAATTCTTGTACTTTTACCATCTCTTCATAGCATACAAGAATGCACTCGTTTTATAACATCAAATTGACACATATCCTGTTATAACCATATCTATGCATAACATACAATGCGCATGTACAAAAAGACCAAACAACCCCAGTTATTTACTCTTTGCACAACTACTCACTGAATGAATCATTTGAACTCAAGGCCAATCGCTGTTGGTTCCGGTTCGGACAATTTGCGTGAAGTTGTTTTAGATGGGTAAGAATTTCCTCACATTTACGTAGAACAATCCGAATATGTTTATGTGGCAAGGGTGTATTGATTCTTCTTTTAAATGATTACAGTTATCATAATGCGATGAGCTTGATGCGTAAGCTTCGTAAAGATTTCATACACAGTTGAAATCGATGTGCGCGTCTAAAACTGAAAAGGCATTGTACGAATTTCAACTTGTGACGTATCATGCGTGTTGCTGCTGTTCCGTCTTTTCCGGTGAAGGGGATTGTGGGATAGGCAAGCAATTTCGTTTAAGTTCTTGAAGGGGCAGACATTTTGACAGACAACAGACACAATGCAGAGAGGGTACGAGCGATCAGACAGGCGAAGGGGTGGTGGATTTGGCGGAAATGATGGTTTCGGCGGACATGATAGTTATGGCGGAGGAAGAGTTGGGGGAAGCAGTTATGGCAGTGGACGAGATGGAGGTTATGGCGGAGGACGTGATAATTATGGCGGAGGCCGTGATGGCGGCCGAGGCAATGATGGTGGTTCATATCATTCGAACTGGAACAACCCCGGTGGAAAAACAGACATTTACGTTGACCAGTCAATTGTCGGCAGAATAATCGGTTAGCATGCTACATTATTGTTCATTTGTGGGTGTTTTTTGTCTTGAGTTTCAGGATGTTCTCGGCATAACATGTGCGCTTCTTTGGGAACATGTCGGTCAGATTTTGGCGGCCATTGTTACATAGCTCGATAAAGCTACCTAGCGACTGAGAATGCCCCAGAGCTCGAGATTTGCTATCAAACTGTTGTGAAAATTGTGTGGAATCAGATTGTCCGACAGATTTTGGTTTGTTTTGTGGTCGTGTATGTTTCTGAACGCCTTTGCCTCGCTTTGAGGATGCTGTGCGAGCCAAATCATGACCATGTGTTCGTGGGCCATGTGCTTTGTCAGTGATTGTCCTGGTGCCGGTAAGTAAAGTGAGTCCAGAATTTCTCGTTCAGTTTTCATTTTACATGAATCATATTCTTACCATATACCATAATTTGGATTCTGATTATTTGAATATTAATGTTTGCTCGTCGTTCCATATATAATTGCGACTTAAACACCACATTGTTTCCTGAGTAATTTCCTCTGGCGATTCAATTTAATTATGTTTGTTAATTACACCAGATTTTTTTTAAATGCACTTGAATTCTCCCCAGCCGAATTTGAATATTCTTTTCATGTCTTTTGCAGTCTCTTCTTTGGATGCCATATATTTAACAGTACCAAATTGGCTCTAATTGGCCGTCATACCATCAGGGGGGTGGGGAGGAGAGTGTCTCTTAATGTAAAATGTGTCATTATAAAGTAAGTAAAAAGGCTTACTTTTTTGTTACATTTCTCACTCCTTGACATTGATCAGTGTTTTATAATTAAGAAAACAAATCTTGCACTCTATGAATCTGTTTGGAGTAAAAGCTCAGGTACATGGATGGTGTATTCAAAATGTTGGAATATAAATTTCTTTAATGTCTTATTTCTCTTGTAAACAGGTTTGAAAGTATTAGACATTTTACTTTGTGCTCTTAGGGCTGGGACAATATACAGTATCCACCAGTGACCCCCAAAGAGCCCAATTAGAAGTGAAATATTTTCATCTCATTGTGCCATAATTAACACTGGCAGTCACCCCATTCCATGTGTTTTTAATGTTGGTATAGTTGTCTCCCTTTTAGCTTAAGGCGAACAGACTGGCCAAGTGGTTACACAGTATACAGGCATTTGGTCATCGTATCTATTGAAAAAAATGCTAGTCACCAAATAGCACATGGAAGTATTGTGATAATATCAGAGGGGACAGCTCCCGGCCTGTACGGTCCCAGCCCAAGAAGCTTTAAAGGGCCAGTGGTAGTTGCGGGTGTTTTTAAATCAGACAATTTTATGAGTAGCGCACTTAAAGTGAGCACTTCATTGAGGGAGGGTTGTGTGAAGAATATTGATCATGCAGGGATCGGGAGAGAGAACTTTGACAATGGTCCAGTTTCAGGATTATTAGCCATTTTCTGAATTTTGAAAGGGTCACTGCCCTTGTGTCAATAGTAAACTTCAAAATTTTAATGGGCCATTTTTTTATTCTAATGGCCCAGGTCCCCTGCCTTTCCCAATCCCTGATCATGTTCTGTACTTTTGCATGCATGCACACATGACATTTTCTCCTCAAAACCTGAATCTTAATATATAAAAATTGTACATGGGTTCCTGGAAGTAGAATTTACACACCTAACCTTAAGCAAGCCACAGCAGAGTCAAGTTGAGGGTTATCTCTTATTTACTCTCAGTAGTTCAGAAGGGTTGATATACTGGCCCTTTAAGGTCTTGTTTACTTTCATTATGGATACCAAGATAATTGTTTATGTATGTAATGGAATAACCGGTAATGGTAATCCCTATCAAATGATGTAGGTCAAATGACGACAAACATGAACACTTGATATTGTTACAGATTTACTTTCATGATGTAAATATGTCTGTTACCTTTGCAGGGAAAAGGGGTCAGAGAATTCGTGAGCTGCAGGACCAAAGTGGAGCTTTGATTAAAGTATGTTGAACTACAGGAATTTTGGAGGGCTTTTTTGGGATACCACTATGAGGTATGCCATGTGTTATACATTAATAGCACATGACTGGCACAACAAAAAATGGAATCCCCTTAATAATTCATAGTATTTACATGAGTAATGTTTTCGTCAAAGTGTTTTTAAATCTTAAAGTAATTTCTATTCAGAATATTATTTTAAATGTTTTTAATGTTAATAAATTGATAGAAAGCTGAACTAGAGTAAATTGATTTGTTTCACTTGTTGGTGGGACACATCCAAAATGAAAATTTTAAACGACTGCTTTTTATATACTTCCATCACTGATCTAAAGTGTGCAGTTGAATTAAACAAATGCTGGCTTTAGCTATATGATTAGTCATCCAAGTGACTTTTGACTTTTCAGTTTGGGTGATTGATGTAATGAGTGTAAACAGTACTATATGGAGTAATTGTAATGAAATGTTCAAAGGAAACTTGTTTCTGATTATGTCCTAACATCATTTTAAGGTATTCAGTGACCAGGCAGAAGGTGGAAGAGTTCGAATCCAGTTGTCTGGAGAGAGTCAGCACAGACAAGCAGCAGAAGCATTGATCAGGGAACTGGAAGAGCCACAGGACAGGAGCGGTCGTGAGTAAAATTTCATAATCTTTTTCTTGAGTTATTAAGATATGTTGCATAATTTTGTAACATTTTTTGTATGGGAGTATTAATCCACGTTTGCTGGGTTAATGCAGAAATTTGCTAATGAATGTCAGTTCAGGAATCTAAACTGCACCAAATCTGCGTACTGTAAATCAATAGATCATACTATATTTATGCTGATTAGGCCAATTCTGTATTTTAACGAATACTACAAGAAATGACAATTGCATGTCTCCACACATCATGCCTCATTTAGTCTGAATTATTCCTGTGAAATCTTGTGTTTCAGTTAACATTTAACTTCTTTTATTTTCAGCCCAACGTCATCGCAACAATGCTTGCTTCCAGTGCGGTGCAGATGGCCATTTCGCCCGTGAATGCCCAAATCCGCAGTATTAATCCATAGTAACATCTGCCTGGCACAGCCAAAGAAGATGCACAGTAAAAGTTATCACATTGAACACCATCCAAATCAAACTTGCTGAGCAACCTGCATTACTCGAGACCCTGTGTTGAATTTTTACGCATTTTATTTGACATGAGCAATTGCTGCCACTCTGCTAATTATGCTAGGTTTGTAACATCTGTCGAAGCTTTTTAACAAAGTGATATTCATCACAAATTCATTTTGTAATTGTTTTTCATTTTTTTTAAATGTAATAATTTTTTTTTGTCTCCATTGAAATATGGAATCTCTACTGTATTCATGCAAATGTAAATCCATTCTCAAGAATAAAAAAATGTGATTTTTCGTCAAATCTTGTCCTTGGCTCATGGGGCATGGACCCAATTGAGTTTCATAGCCAATTCTATTGCATCATCAGTTATGACAGTTTCAGCAGCTAAGCTTTTGCAAAGTTGTTGCAACACATGGCTTGGTAAGCATAACATGACATGTTAAGAGTGGGGTTAATGCACCATTAAATAAGACTTCAATAAAGAATTAACTCACTTAATGGTTGAGAAATCCATTGGGTGCATTACATTCCAAAAATTGCATTTGATCATGAAAAGGCAAACTGGGTACAGAGAGGTGTCTTTGATTTTATCCATTTCAAAGTTCATGCCAATAATGGGTATGACCTCCCCATGCCTGAATGACGGCTTGGCATTGCCGGTTCATGCTGTCAATAGGAACCCAGATACTAGTCATTGGAAGGTTATTCCATTCCTCGACCAGGGCATTTCCAAGTTCTAGAGTCCCAGGTTGTGCGTCATGTCCGGAAATGGCAACCTGCAGCATGTTCTACACATGTTCGACAGGGTTTAGGTCCGGCATGCATACAGGCCATTCCATACAGACAATTGTTTCCTGTTCCAGAAACTAGCACAATGGGGACAGGCGTTATCGTCCATCATAATGAACTCTGGACCAACGGCACCAGTGTAGGGTCTCATCCCTGTACTTGAACGCCTGTCATCGTACCCTCCCCATGACATGCAGATCAGTTTTTCTGTTTCTGCTGATTCCTCCACAGTCCATGATGGATCCTCTCATAGCGATCATGTTCAAAATTTTTAGCATTCTTAAAGTGACAATGATCTTGAGTCAAAATCAAAAGTTCCCATACGTGATTAGTGGTCTTGTCATTGTAGTAGACCTTTGACGACCACCAATATGAAGGTGTGCTGTCATAGCAAGAGTTCGATTACAGTTCCACGCTCTGTTAAAATGCTTTGTCTGACGGTTAGTGCATTCGCAAGGTTACATCGTGAGAAGCCTGGTTCAAGCATCTCCCCAATTGCTCTGACATCAACCGACGTCTTTGACGTTGATGAGGCATCATGAGTGTTAAATGTAATGACAAACTATTAAAATAGTGCATGGTAATCTGATTAGGAACAGACTAAAACGAATGTGTGACCGACAGTTCAAAAGTTGTACAGATTGAATTAAATCCATGGTTTCTCAGTCTTGCAGGTATGAACATTTGAAACAGAGACTTTCCACACCTTGGGAAGTACTGTCATAAAATAACTACCATTTATTCGACTTCCTTTAATTTCCTTTTGTTTGGTTATAATTTTATGAATATTTTTGTAAACATCTTTGAATGGATTGAGAGTTGCCAGTTTGAAATTTATAGCAAAAAGCTGAAAGTAGTTTTCTGATTGACTAATGTAAAATTTGGGATAGCCATTTCACGATGGGACCAAATTTATAAAGGTCCTTTTGATTTTACCTGTAGTGGGAAGTCCTGTGATCTGAGAGGTGAGCAATCAGACCTGATTTTAATGAAATTATCAATTAACAATCACTCAACAGGGGGCCTGGATCAATTTGTCTTCGCAGCATTCTTACATACCAGAAACAGCAATGCCTAGGTTTAGGCTTAATTTATCCATGTACGTTCACAGTGATGTTCAATTCAATCACTCTTCTTGAATATGTAACAATTGCAACAGGCTCAGGATTTGAGAAATTCAAACTGACCCTTAAATTCGCCATCAAAACATTTCTTCATATCCACTGAAGCCGGATTGGGGGTAATGCATGTTACATCCCTCTTCCTTATGTCAGTGTTTGTTTGGTAAACCTTTAATGAAAATCAAGGGTATGTGGGTAATTTGTGATTGCAGAAACATGGGAATGGATACAGGGTTTAGTGTAGGTTCAGGTGGCTTAAATGATAGCCCAGGAGATAGAGGCTCTTTCCTTTTCCTCATTATTGTGATGTTTAATTTAGAGGTTCAAGTGTTGTCATTGACATCTGGCTCAAAATACAGTCTTGGTATTTAAACACAATGAATTGTGGAGGACATTAACCTAATGTATTTTGACATACTTGATGACCAAAGGTTAATCCTTATTTACTGGAAAGCATGGTCAGATACCTCAAAACCAGTCCATACATTAGTATTCCTTTGAGGCATTGATTGATATTTTCCTTAAATTAATCAACAACATTCAAAATAAGGTATTTTCTCCATTACTAAGTCATATCTTTTTTCAATTTACTTGTGAAGCTTGCAAGGCATCAGAATGAAAATATTTGAACATATTCATCAACATCTCTTTCGACTCGCGGTGATGAAAACCTATGTGTAAAACAATCATTTGCAATACCTACACAGTTCATCGGGTTATGGATGTACTTAGGGACCGTTCATAATTTATGGCTGGGGGGTGATGATGATTTTAAGGTGGGGTCACCCATTTTGTTCTGGGGAGGTAGGGGGGTCATCAATTTTGTACAGGTGTTCTAGGGGGTGTCATCAATTTTGTACATAAAAATATTTAAAAATTAGGCTTACAAAACATGGGAAGGGGAAGGGGGGTAATTGATTTTGCACATGACATGCAGAAGGGGGTCACTCACTTTGTACATAAATTTTAGGGGGGGGTCAGTCACATTGTGCATAAAAATCATCATTGTCCATAAAAATCATCATTGTCCATAAAAATCATCATCACCACCCACCCACCCCTAGCCATAAATTATGAACGGCCCCTTACATAAGAATGTTTCAAGGATTTCTACTTCTCGAGTTACAGGATCGGGTGGTCAGGCTCACTGACCTGGTTGTCACATGTCATCATATCCCAAGTACATAGATCGATACTCATGCTGTTGATCACTGGATTGTCTGGTCCAGACTCAATTATTTACAGACTGCTGCCACATAGCTGGAACATTGCCGAGCATTAAACAACAACCAAACTTAACCAAACCAGGGGGGACATGATATCTATCTGAAAGTGTCGACTTTCCTGGATGTTTCTAACACTTGTTTCCAAGAACCTAGTTGTACATACATGTACATCATTCAAGTACAAATACAAATAGAATCTGGTACTTTTGTTGGAGGGTACCAGTCCATGTTTCATGTCCACACTGCCAGGGTAAGGCACCAGCACGCATTGGATGTAGCAGTCCTTAACCAGCACACAATGCCTGTGATCTACCCCACTAGGTGACCGAGGCTTCCACAAAAAAGTCCAAAAACGTAGTCCAGCTTACTCGTTTTGTGTACCCGTCTGAACAGTGTACTTTTGTACATGGTGTCTTGATACGAGAATCCATCAAGTGACAGAGTATAATTTGTCCTTTACTAACAGAGCACCTATCCAAAATATACCTTACGCTACATGCATGACATGTAACTGAGGCATTTTGTTATTAGTTGGTGAGGAGTGGTGGGATAGTCTAGTGGTGAAAGCACTGGCTCATCAAACAGAAGACCCAGGTTTGATTACCCACATGGGCACAATTTTCTGAGCCCATTTCTGGTATCCCCAGCTTGGATATTACTTGAATACTGCTAAAAGTGGTGTAAACCCATTCTCATTATTCATTGGTTTAGACATTTTTCAAAAAAAAGAACTGGTTAGGAAGGGGGAAATACCGAGAATTGTTTTTATAATATCTGTTTCGTGTGTTGATTTATGGAATTACACACACCCCCACACCCCAAATTAAGTTTGGTGTGTGAATTCTAACTTGATGGCCACTTGAATTTGCACTTTGCCCAGTAAAATTGTGACCATGAGACTGTGATTAAATGAAAAGACAGTTATTGTCTCTGTACATTGTACTGCATATTCATTTTAAATTTTCATTTCAGTGTGAGAAACTGGAATTTTGATAGCAAGGTCGCTTAGTTATTATTTTTTTATTTGGATCAGAGACAATATACATTTTTTATAGGTCATCATTTTCTCGGTATTTTGCATCTGTCAACCCGCAAACCAACTGACAAAAAGAAATATTTATGGTTGTATTAAAATCTGGTTTGGCAGTCTTGGTCAGAAGAATTTGAAATATGTCCTGTATTGTATTCAAATGATTGCACTGGTCCCTTTGGCATATCCCCAGATTTCTGGTTCCAGTTCTGCAGCAAATACTGTTTACTAGCACATCAGTAGTGTAACAAATATCACAAAAGGACTTCATTCCCATTCAACTATATTAGCTATTGGTTGCTTGCTGAAATTGTGGTTCAACATTATATTAAATGTGGCAGCGCTCAGATACAACAATCTCTTACCTACATGACACAAGTGAAGTGAGTTTATGCAATGACTGGTCTGCATTCGTCCACCATTCTGTTACCACTAAACACATGTCTTCAGTACTACTGATTATGTATACCAATATTGTTTCCACAGAACGTTACCTCTTTGGTTCCTTGCTTCACATGGACAAATATGGCCACTAAAATTGTGAAAATTCGGAGGTTGTTTTTTTGCCAGGGCCTAGTTATTTCACAAAGTCTACTTGTTCAAAATGAGCTGCTGGGTTGCAGAAAATGATCAATCTTCTCTACTCCTTTTAAGGAAGACTAAAACAGAAATAGAAATTCACAATAACTGCACCTAACTAAAGTCAAATTGTCCAAATTTACAGCCACCAGTGACTTTGAACTACATGTTCGCAACCAAAGTAGAATAAAATAGATTTCAGTTTCGTGAGTATAGCTAAATAATAATGGTTTTCAGAGTAAGATCTCTGAAATGTGTCAATATGATTTGGGTATTCAGTTGTAAAAGATGTTTTTGAGAGAAACTCTAATGTAATATTTTGTGTCAGGTGTGCATCCTTATTACCACAAACGTGTTTGGTGCTCTTTATCTTCATATGCTGGTCTGGTTCAGTCTAAGTAAACTTAGGCTCAGTAATATATTTGTTGCACTGCTATACTGAGCAGTATATAGCAGTGCAACGAATAATACTGAGCCTAAGTTTACTTAGATTGTGTTTGGTCCAGACTCTATGATTAACTGATATGTCTGAAATATTGATGACTTCA